CTTTTCGTGATATATCTACACCGATAGCCGTCTCCAGCTACTTGGAATGGACCTGTCGTCCAATTGAACTTCGGCAGATACATAGAATCCATGACCAAAAATGTAGCCAAAAAGCTATAGCTATAGAATAAATTTAGATTTTTTTTACTGTATAAATTAATAAAACAACAAATAATTTCAGCGTCAATAGACTTCCACTATTCACTAATTACCTAGATTAACTATTTTAAAACCTAAAAAGTTTCAAATAATTGCTACGTTTTGAATAAGTTTTAAGGTTTCGAAATCTCTGATAAATTGTAGATTACTATATGTTATGGGAGTAATATGTATTAAAAAATAATTTTCAGAAAATTTTGTCCCTTACTAGATTTTGCAATGGAACAGCCGAAATTAGCCCCTTTTTACCTTTTAACCGTCAATGTGACCCATTTTGCCAATGGCATTTATAAGTTTGTGGGGCTGACAGGGTACAAGATTAACTACAGGGGTTGTTTTTTTGTGACTGTCTTGAAAACGAATTGTGAAGACCTGTTTTAGTATTGTGAACTTTTGAAACAATTTTTGCTTAAATAGGAGTTATAAAATTTAAAGATGAAAGCTAAGAATACCCTTGCACTCCCTGTACGGACATAACGACATAACAGACAGCCAGGCGTCATGAGCACGTCATGAGGATCTTTTATTTGATAATGACTACAAAAAAATAAATAACGCCATCTCGTGAAAATGCATGATACTGCTTGCGTATGCCAACTACCTTGAATAAGGTTGTAACCTACCGCGGACAGATGTCGCTACGAGTCGAACATATGGTAAATTACGAAACGTAGCAACGCTGTCGCCATATTGTCCATAACATAACCTCTCGTTGCTTAAGCGTTATTTTTATTATAAATCATTATAAATAACTCAGCGCTCGTTGGATTCCGTTAAAATGCTAAAATCTAAGACGTTACATTCAAAACTATACGTGAGTGATGACGACACCGCTTCAGTGTGGGATTTTTTTAAGAAACTTTGCAACGACGGTCCACGGAAAACAGCGTTATGCAAACTGTGTAGCAAAATATATAATTGTAACAAAATTTATAATTTAAAATGGCATTTACACAGTAAACATAGTGATGTGGTCGAAGTGCCACAAATAAAAACGAGAGAAGCCCGTAATGAAGCAAAGACTAGGGATTTTATTTGGTCATATTTCACAAAAACTGATGCACCTGGGTATGCTAATTGTAATGTTTGCGGAAAATCGTGTTCTTACAAGACTACAATAGGGAACTTGCGCGCCCATCTACAAAAACGTCATAGCGAGGTCGCACCGGTTATAGAAGAAATTATTGAAACAAAAGGTATGTATTCATGCATGAAATATTCTGTATTCAATCTTTTGTGAACTAACAACTTGCTTTAGGACCCAGGACTCTACTCTCGTCACTCTCATTCTTTAATCAAGATCCGTCCAAACCAATTTCCGTCAAATAAGTAATACTGGACCAAAAAGACAATGTCAATTGTCAAGTATGAAGATTCGCATCTTACGTTTTTTTGATTTGGTCGAGTATTAATAGGATGTCAGACTGAGAACGAAAATACAGAGCTTGAAACGGTTTTTTTTAAATATAGAGCACAAGTTTTAGTGGTTCGACATTTCGTTATAAGCCCATAACGTTATTATTACACTGTTGTTTGTTGTTAACGGAAATAATGCAATTCTACCTCTTAATTTAGGGAGCCACCACAATTATCGCCACGGAATCGTGCCTTGTGGTAAACGACGCGCCTGTCCATACCAGTTACAGTGCCACTCAGAGCTTTAAATCGCAAAGATCTGAGGGGCACTGCCACTGCACCTGTGACCCTGAGACAAGTTGACAAGTCCCATATGCCTGGTATTTCAACATGCGCCCTTACCGTTCAACACCAGAACGCAGTAATGCTCATATTACTTAGATACTTAGGTACGGAGGCAGTACTTCCCTGGATGAACTCTTTCACAAGGACCTCTACTGCTATTAATGTAAATTATGTAATAAGTAAATAATAAATAATGTATACAAGATGTCGGACGGACACCAAGAATAGACCCCCTGCTCTCTGCAAACCGACCGCGTCCGTAAGCAACCGATGCGCGTATACCTATAGCATATAGCATTTAACCAACCGGAGGCAGCACAAGTTCTAATTTCTGAAACTAAAAAGTCTGCCGCTTTTGCGGATGACGACGCAAGGACACAAATAAAATGCTATTTATTGCATTTATTGTCGATTATATTTTTCGCTATGCACGCAGTCTACGAAATTAGGTGGCTGCCGTTCGAGCGCCATCTCGCGAAAATGCATGATACTGCTTGCTTAATAACCAACTACCTTGAACGTAAGTTCTAACCTATCTTGAACAGATGTCGCTAAGAGTCGAAATTACAATATATTTGCGAAACGACAACGGTAACGCTGTCGCCATATTGTCTGTAACATAACCCCTTGTTGTGTTGCAACGCGTTATTGTTGTAGTGAATCGTTATAAATAACTTATTGACTAATGAAGTTCGTTATATTTCGTTAAAATATAAAAATTCGGCACGTTATATTCAAAACTAAATATGAGTGAAGAAGACGTCGCGACAGTGTGGGATTTTTTCGAGAAACTTGACGACGACGGCGAAGAGAAAACAGCAAAATGCAATCTGTGTAACGACATATTGAATTGTAAAACAACTGATATTTTAAAATCGCATTTACATTGTAAACATAGTGACGAGGTCGAAGTGGCGGATATGAACCTGTTACAAACACTTAGCGATGCGAAGACCAGGGATTTTATTTGGTCCTTTTTCACAAAAACTGGCGAAAAGGGGTATGCTAGCTGTAATTTGTGTGGAAACACGTATAGTTACAAGGCTACAATAGGGAACTTGCGTTCCCACCTGCACAAACGTCATGACGACGTTACACCGACTATAGAAGAAATGATTGCAACGAAAGGGACAGGTATATCCTTTTATATATGATTTATGCTTTATTGATGAACCTTCGGCGGACTACAACTTGCATTTGAGTCCTCAAACGGTATACTAACAAAACAATTCTAAGTGATTCCACATTTTGTTATCAGCGCATAACGTTATTAACAGGTGTGTTATTAACTATTATTGTTTGTTATAGTTATTATTAACGGAAATAATGCAATTATTTTCCCTGTTATATGACTTTTCGGAATATTCAATAGGTACATTAATTGATATCTATTGCGGAAGTTTTCAGAGATTCCAATTGATTAACCCTTTATGGGCAGTAGGTTCCTTAAATAGGTTATTACGTTGATACAATATAAAATGTTCAATGTATGTAAATATTTTTGTGACAATACGTTGGTGATACTTCTATAAGGAAAAGTTGTAGGCAGACAAAAAGCATTTCGAAATAGCCCTGTGAATTTAATTTTTACGGTAATCGCAGGTGCTGCCCGGGTGTATTTCAATAAAAGTTTTTACAATTTTTTAAACAAACTGTAATGTTCTGTTATCTATAAAAACTTCCTAAATTTACTTAATGCATGAAAAAAAGGTAAATAATCTATTTTAATGGTAGTCAAATGTTTTTTCTATAGTCCGCTTGTTTAGGTGCTTAACAGAATGTAAACAATCTTGAGATGTCAATTTAACGATATATACATTTATAAAATGATTTTTACTTACTTTCAAATACAAATAGTTAGCTTCATATGAAATTCTATGCCTATTTCTATACCAATTGATTTGTAAAGTATATGTTTCAATTTGCTTCATGTAAAAAATCATTTACGACGTTAAAACACCGGTTGATTTCTTTCTATCATTTTCGTCATACATTTTTTCGAAATAAATTAGTAAGGTTTTTTATGATAGCAACTTGGGACGACTACGTCGCGCGCTGCAGGTATTACACACCCTGCCCATTGATATGTAATGAAATTATCTATTAGTAACAATGTTATACGTTACAAGTCAGTCATATATAATAAACAGTACGTAGCATTCCATTTGCAATACATTACAAGTCACATTATGAAGCTGCATCTTTGATATCATTTGGTTTATACAATAAGTTGTTTAATTGCAGTTTTTATATACATTACTGCTTGGCGGCAGAAATAGGTAAGGTGGCAGTGCTTCCCTGCACTTTCACAAAAACTGTCACTAAAATATATCACCATATATCTCTTATAAAACTTTGTCGAATGATTTAGGTACGTAAAAAAACTCTCTTCAAATAAGTAAGTATACCATACCTACGATTAAAATTATCATTAAGAAAGCACTATAAAGAACCTCCTGTTTTCATGGTCGGTTAAAACTCGTCGCAAACAACCCAGCGTGCACGGAACGGCAACCTCGCTTGCGTTATTGATTGTTGCTATAAATGGAAGCCGGGCTGCGGGAACGAGAATTTATTATTATTCCCGTTTTGTATTTTATATTATATCAACATATACACGTCCCAGTGCCGAGTACAGCTCTTGTGCGAGTTATTGAAGCTTTAAAGGGAAATCAAATCTATCTTTATTTCACAGTTAATACATAATATTGATTAAACTCTAGTTCTCATTCGTAAGGCAGATTCCCCTGAGAAGAATGAGCAAGGAAGTTGCTCTTTGTAAATAAATATCTTTTATTTCAAATTAGATAGCATCAACGGTTTTCATCATCCAACGCAGACGCTGTTTAATAAAAAAAATCTTTATATATTATAAAGGTTTTGTTCCACTTTAGTTTTAAACCTCAGTCAACCGGAATCTCTTTTTTAATAGAAACGTATTTGTGAAGACGGCTGTCAAGAACGTATATTGAAGCAACGTGACGTGCTTTGTAGGTCACTGACTGCGTATTGCTTGGAAATGTGAGTTCAGTTGGTACAGTTACACAACGATTGTATTGGCGCATAGCAACGGTGGGGTACTGGAGGGGGGGAGTCGGGTGGCGCGGGCCGCGTCCTGCAAACACGCTCATGTTGCTGGATCGAGCGTTGAGGGCCGACGTGTGCGTGTCTTTTAAAATATACTCTTAATATGTCACACGTAAACTGTTCCGTATACGGTTGTTATTCGTCACCGAAAACCAACGGGGCTTTAAGATTTCACAGGTTTCCCCGGGACGCGAGGTAAGTTTGTTCTATAATATTTTAACAAGTGCCTACCCACATAATATCTATGTTGGTTGGTGCCGTTATCTTCGTATAGTTTTAAAGTTACATCTTCTTGCATGCGATTGTAATGAAGTGATGAAGTTTTTTAAGATGTATGATGGTTTTATTGTCATTTGAATATCAGGTTACGTAGTAACCATATTATATTATGCAATTGGTACATCATATGTTGCGATCAGTACCAAATTGACGGAACTAAATTTTTTGCAGCTACTCTAATTCCTAGTGATAACAAACAAATCAACTAGATGGCGCTTATTGCACAGATTTTAATTGATACTGCTGGCTTTGTTTTATTTTGTTTATGATTTACAGTCATCGACCCATTTTAGCAAGCGTTAATTTATAAATAAGTTTGTAACACACAATGCCATCTATTGTCATGCATATTTGTCAGAATTTAGAAAATAATTTTAGCTCTTGGTCAATATTTGAATAATGTTAGAAGAAAAGAAACTGACTACTTACTTATATTTCATATTAACTTACATGCAAAAACTACTTCCATGCTATCGATCAGCAGATCTAGATATAATACGGAATGCTGACCTATTTAACCAACGTCAAACTTTTCAACAGAAAAGAAGGAGATTCTTAAATTTAATAATAATAATAATAATAAACCATTTATTTCAGGCCATAGCCCATAAGATAATGGTGTCAGTTACAAAAGAAAACCTTAGAACCTTAGAACAAGACTGTTTTTTTTGTATTTATGTTACACCATTACTCCGGCACTTCTGAACCGATTTTGATGATTCTTTTTTTGTTGGAAAGAGGGTAACCTCAGTGTTGGTCCCATTTAAATTTGAAAAAAATATTCCGCCCTTAAGGGTGGTAAAGTAGGGGATGAATCCGGTTTCGCGCACTATTTTCAATAAAACTTGGCAAATAGATATAATCCCAGTAAATTTTTGAGGTCTTTTTTTTATAAAAAAGCTATAATTCAGAATTACGAGTCCAAAATGGATATTGCTTTTTATTTATTACGAGACATTACTGTACGTATAGATACCAAAAGTATCAATTATATCAAAAGGGACAAACCACGGTTTTTCAGGAGACCCAAAAAACGATTTTTTTTAATCTGTCTATTTTTACTGTCTGCTCCAATTTTTATTGTGTCTAGAGCAAAGTTTCTTAGAATTTTCTCTTCTTTCATGCTATAAACGAAAATTTAGGAATTGGTTTAAAATATAGCATGTCCTTTGTATTAAAAAAAAGATGTTTAATTGTGGCTTACGTTACTAATTTTCAACTACAACGCTAGACGACCCGCGTGTCCGCTCGACTGCAATTTGTACCTTAACAATGGGAAAATAGAGATGAATATGCTATAGGCGAAAAACATGACTCGTGGGACGCTTCGACTCTGCGCCAGTGTGAGTTCAGCCTAAGGGACATGCTATATTTTAAACCAGTGGTTTTTTAAAATTTTAATAATACCAATCGATAGAGCGGGAAATTCCGAATCCTATGATACATGTAGCTCATTTTCGACAAAATGTCCCTTACGTTAATTGATACTTCTGGCATCGATATATCATTATTGTACGGCTGTTTATTTTCATGTAAATGGTATAAAGAGACGAGTTATTTCGTATTCCGAAAGATGGAACGTAGTACTAGGATGATTGTTTACCTCATTTATTTAGGGTAGAGTAAATTCATATTTATCAATTAATATATAATACAGATTTATTATATTAATATAATAAGATGCTATAAGATCGTGAACGAGCAGGCAATGGTTCTCCAATTTTCAATTTGTATTGGCGATGAATATTTAGTGCCGTGGAAGGTTAAGTTTATTATAGCGAGGGATGTCTAGGTAATTTAGTAATTAAATGATAAGGTCTCTCTAATGTTATACAATATGTGTGTGAATGTTTTTTTTGGGATTTCCAGGGGTAGTCTCGAAAAAAACAAAATATAGGGTTACACACTCACTCTATCGCGCGTGATAAGGTGCGTACGCGCGTAAAGCTTGCACGCGCAATCGTATGCAATTACCTGATTAAATTTTTTTAAGCTAAAGGCTTCTCCACACTAGCACGCGATTCCGCGCGAAGCCGCGAAAACTACCCGCGAAGCATGAGTGTGGATCCGATTCGCATATTCTTCGCGACTTCGCGCCTTGTTCCCGATTGCTATCGGTATTTTGTCTCGCGAAAAAGGGGTCGCGAGACAAAGTTCGAACGTGATCGCGACAAGGTGCCACATTCGTGTGCCGCGGACGTTTGGTTTGTATTTTAAATGTGCTTTAAATGGCCGTGGATTGGACAAATGAACTAGAACTGACATTTTTGGATTGTTTTCGTGCTGATATCAAAATGAAGGATTTTAAAAATAAATTCAAAACTCATAATGCATGGATGCGGCGTCCATCTTCGTCAAGTGCGCGAACTATACTGTGAGTGATCCAGGCGCGAATCTCTGGGTGGAACTGTGCAGTTCTTGCCGCGATCCGCATCGTGAATCGCGCGCGAGTGTGAAGAGGCCTTAACGTTTGCGTGCGATTGCCCTTGTTCGTTTTTATTAGAGATGAAACGGATAGTAATTTGGCCGGATACCGGATATTTGACCCATTGCCGTAAACATGTTGCGACCGGCTTACAGTGCGCATTGCCGTGATTGATTGATTAGCATTGACTTACAAATAAATGAACGACGGGTCTAATACAAAAACCACGAAAAAATGTCCCAAGTCAACCTATTTAAACGTAGTGACATGTAAAGGAATATGAAAAAGCTAAAACGTTGAATTTCAATTGTAATGTCATCGCAGTACTGTCTAATTGCGCGTGTTTCGCTGTCAGTCGAACAAACGAAGACTAAAGCGTGAATGACGCTCTGTATGCGATTTTAACGCCCTATAAGTTCGGACACTTTTTAGCGCGGACCCGACGTCCATATAATTGTAAGTCAATGTTGATTAGTGAATGATTGCACTTTCACATGTGTGTTTGTTGTGCCGAATGCAAATTTCTCGCGGTGTAGAGGAAAAAAAAGCAATTGCATCATTCTTTGGCTATATTAAAATTTCTAGTTGTTATATCTTGTACCGTAACACTTGATGGGCCCGTGATTATTTTGTTTCAATTTGATTTTTAATTTATTTGTGATCTAACTAATTCTAAGTCTTGATACCAGATTTCCAAAAAAAATTTATCTACTTACACATTTCATTGTTGTAGGTACACATTGTATTTGAACACAGTTCAAATCGATCGTGATCGCGATCTTTGCATTTGATCATCTAGCAATAACAAGTAGTTTATGGTGAAAAACTGTCCTCGGAAGCCGGTCTTATTTTTATATTTATGAAAATAAATATAACCAAGTTTTACCGCTTAATGCATAAAAACTGATCTTCTCCACCATAATTTGCCTTATTGAAATTTTAGTACTAAATTTACAGATAACGTTATCTAACTTCAGTTACAAGTAATAAACAGATTGTCAACGATCCTGGAGTTGCTGTTGTGTGTGAGTTTTAAGCAACCGATGTCCGGCCGGATATTGTTCCACTATCCGGAATCCGGCCGGATAGTAAAAATAGGCCGGATACCGGATAGTTACCGGATATCCGTTTCGTCTCTAGTTTTTACTACAACAGAACAGCGTCCGTGTAAAAGGCGCGCGTGACTGATGAGCGTGATCGCGCGGTCTTTCCCTTTTCCTTCCAACGTCATATTCATATTCTTTATTTGCAAGTTACTTGGTTATATAACAGGTGTTCTTAAGCTAATTGTACTTGACGTGTAACACCCCGTGGGGGCACTGCAGCATTCTGAGGGCACTATGTCCTTACTTTACTAAAACATATGCATTATTAAAATAAAATTAGACATAATTTAATAAGAAAACTCTACATTATTTAAATAAAATTAAGAATGATTAATAACAAAAAACTAAACAGAATTTTAGGCAATATGAACAATAAATGTTAGTAATTCCTTTTACATTTAGGTCTCATTCGTGTTACACTTATGTCTGGCTATTTGACACACTTTAACATTTTCTAAAAAGCATTCTTTTAGTGAATAAAAGGCTTTATTTTGTAGATAGCTCTTTAGATGGGTTACAAAGGCCTACGTCTTTACACGCGCGCTAAATCACGCACGATAGTCTGTGTAATAAAGTCCGCTATTATCCTATTATATTTCATGTGTTTATTTATTGCATATTTTCCTTTCCAGGAACCAGTTATGGATTGACGCGTGTCGAAGACCCGACTTAAAAAATAAAAGCGTTGATCAATTGTATAGCATGTACGTATGTAGCCTGCACTTTGAAAAATGGATGTATATGAAAAGGAAACTGAAAAGCACTGCCATTCCCACTTTAAACATACCATCTGCTTCAATGTATTCCGTGAGCACACAAACTGAAGTTCCAGTATTAGAAATTACAATAGATTTGCATAGCGTAGGTGTTCAACGTGAGATAGACGCTAAAACAATGGGCGCATCTGCTGTGGGATCCAGTCCTGCTCGAACATCGCAGATTACACAGGAAATGACAGATTCCTTTCTAAGAAAGAGGCTTCGAGAACAAGCTGAACGTTCTGCGAAGAAGTTGAAGTTGACAGAAAATTCAATGAGAGTCACCCGTAAACAGTTCTTGCAAGGCTGTGACAAGTTCTTATCGCCTAGCCTAAGTACAATTGCCAAAGTACAGGCCAATTTGAAACATCCTTCGAAAAATAATCGATACACCAAGGAGTTTAAATTATTTTGTTTAAATATTTATTGCTCAAGTCCATATGCGTATAAGTTTTTATCCAAAACCTTGTGTTTGCCTCCAAAACGTACTTTGACGACCTTGCCTATACCTGTAGGCACCAAAATAAGTCACTATATCTGGGGAGTTTTGTCTCAAGTCATCAAACGTTTATCGCCTTTTGACAGGGAATGTATATTTTGTATGGACGTAATGAGCTTGAAACGTTCTCTTTTTTATAACACACACAAGGATAAAATAAATGGTTTACACGAAATTGATGGTATTCAAAGTCCATATGCAGCTGGCTATGCTTTAACAATTATGCTGAAAGGAATATTTGGCGACTGGAGACAATTAGTCGGATACGCTCTTACCACAACCAATGAAATCGACGAGTCATTTGATAAATGGATAGTAAATACAATTAAACAATTGTTAGTATTGGGCTTTAAAATAAGGGCTGTTGTCTCTGACCAAGAATCATGTTTATCTAGAGGAGTATCCAAAGACAATCCCTATTTTGAAATAGACGGGAAAAAAATATATTACATTCACGATGTTCCGCGTATTATAAAAAACGTTAGGAATAATTTGATGAAATATAATTTCGAATTTAGCGGTAAAACCGCTAGCTGGGACGATATATATAAATGTTACCAGTTAGACAAGCAAAAGAGTATTCCGTGTGCTCCTAAATTGACGGACGCACATGTATCGCCGAAAAAATTCCAAGAACGAAAACTGCGACTAGCTATAGAAGTCTTCAGCAATTCTGTCAAGACAGCTGTGGAAACTTACACTAAAGCAGGTAGCTTAAACCCACGCGATGGCACTGTTGAGTTTATCGACACAATGGACAAACTTATCGACTTGTTAAATTCCAGCACACTTTTCTCCCCAAAACCATACAGCCAGCCGTATAGAGATAACGAACTGCAGCGCAATTTGTTGCTCAAAGCGCAAAATTTGCTAAGTAATCTTAAAGTGAAGCAGAAAACTACCGGCAAAGATGTGACGACCTCAATGACATTCATCGAAGCATTTTCTGTTACAATCAACGCCTTTATCCAGTTATATCATGATTTGATGAAAGAATCGCAAATTGATGGAGTCTATTTGCTAACAGGTAGACTGAATAATGACTGTCTAGATACTTTTTTCAACGTAATACGTCAAGCTGGTGGGAACTGCAGGCAACCAAAGTGTGGTCAGTTTGAACGAGCATTCCGGAAGTGTTTCTTGTGGCAAATATTGAAATTATGTAGCGAAAGGAATTGCGCTAACGACTTTGACAATATCTTAAAGCAATTTGGTGATTTTACACAAAGTGAATCCATATTCACGACCCGTACTCCACGGACCCTTTCAACAAAGTTTGATATCCCTGACCACAATAGCTATCTGTACATTTGTGGCTATATTTGGCGGCGGTGCCTAGACCGACACAAATGTCTAGAGATAATTAACTATGCGACAAGTTACACTGCCAGACCAATAAGTAATTTGTACTCGCGCGAAAGCGCGTTCGGCGCCTTGCGTGTTGGTTCCTCGGTACCACCTCCTGCTAAATTCATAATATATTGTAATGAGCTAGAAGTCCAATTTACGCAGAATTTCCGTTCGTTTGCTGGAAACCAAATTTTTAATAAATTATTTGGGTTGCTGAGATCAGTGGTGTATAAATCACGACCATGCACATGTTTCCCCCTTTACTTTGTGGTCAAATTGTTCATCCGAATGCGTATACATTACATACTTAAGTTTAATAATAGAAATCTAGAAGCATATAAAAATAAAGCGTCCCGTAAATATTACGCATTGCAACTCATTTGAAACTTTATTGCTTGTCCTATTATTGTACATAATCCATTGACTTACAAATAAGTGGACGACGGGTCTAATACAAAAACCACGAAAAAAATGCCCCAAGTCAACCTATTCGAAATTTAAATTGTAATGTCATCGCAGTATCGCGCTGTCATTAGAACAAATGAAGACTAAAGCGGAGTTTGGCGCTCTGTATACGATTTTTGCGCCTTACAAGTGCGGATACTTTTTAGCGCGGACCCGACCTCCATATAATTGTAAGTCAATGACATAATCCATTTATTTGTGAAAACACGGGTTGTATAAATGATATAATGCTTTATACGGGTCCATTCTAATGATAAGAATTTGTAACTAGATGTGCAAATAATAATTTGAATATACAATTGTAATAAATTGAATAATGAAGTTTTTTTTTGGGATTTGTCATTTCAAAATTCGGACATTGTATAGTAGATTTTATTATGCCATTATGCGCAAGAGGGCTGCCTCATTCATGATGCGTGTGCGCAACGGTGCTAATAGCATCTTAGCCGTTGTTGCCACGTGTGTAGGGTAGTGGTCTAGCCATGGCATTCTTCGCTCCCTCTCCAGCCATATTATTTCTTTGTTACAAAAACAGCTCCAAAAACTCCTTGAACATTGAAACGATAAATCATATTTATCGACAAAAACAATGAATTGAATTTAAAACAAAAACAGCTCATTGTACGTCGATGCGATAAATAATCAATTATGGTGATAAAGAAATATGATAAAAATAAAACAAGTGCTAAAGATTTATACGACGTTTCTAAATTGATAAGAATGAGTTTTGTAACAAAGATATTAAATGTTATTATTGAAAACTCTCTAAAATGTGTTCAAAAGTCGACCTTATTGTAAGGTAAACAATCCATAACAATAGGTAACAATGTAAACCAAATATGCAAATCGAGTTCTTAGGTTTTCGCGATTGTTACACATAGGAAATGAAACTATTTTTCCGGATTTAAATCGCGTATATTTGTTTTTTCAAACAAACCGACGTTTCGGGCCCTTTACAGGTCGCATGGTCACGGTTGACTGAGGTGGTACAGTCTTCAACCAGTTGTGTCTAACATTAATGCAAACCACCCTGTTTTTTCACTGCAGTTACAAAAGTTATTAATTAAATACCTTATTTTTTATTTTACAAAGAAAACATTCCAATTTACGGTACATTACATTTTACAAATTATTTTATTGACTGAATTTTTATTAAGTTCAATTTATTATTAGTTAATTATAGAAATTAGAATAAATTAAAACATTAATTAGTACTGGAGTCTTATGTGTGTTTGGGATTTTTCATCAGAGGAAATACTGGATCCCAAACTGGTGGTGCGGAGAAACCATCTTCCCTGTTGAAATTAGGATGTTTTTTAATTTCAATGGCCTCTCGCAGCATCCTGGGTAGATAACGGACTTCTTTTGCAAGGACCTGGGGTTTGTCAAACTTCATTGAATGTGTAAGTTTATCCATGACATGCTCGCAGACTGCAGACTTGTTTACGCGACGGTGTTTGACATCAGCTATATGTTCTTTGACATGGGTACAAATACTTAGCTTCGTTTGTCCAATATAAGAGAGACTGCACTCACACTCAAGCTTGTAAACTCCTGCATCCTGTAAGGGGATGTTACATTTCACGGGTCTCAGGAACTGAGAAATCTTCCTCAGGGGCTTGAAATAGGTCTTGATAGATGCACGCCTGAGGACTCTTCCGATCTT